TTCATTCAAGGCCAGGCTGGATGGAGCTTTGAGCAACCTCATCTAGAGGAAGATGACTTGCCCATTGTAGAGAAGTTAGAACTATGTGATCTTAAATGTCCCTTTCAACCCAAACCATTCTGTGATCCTGTGATTCCTTGTTGCCCTTAATTAATCAGAAGAGAAGTCATCACTTTCTCTATTTCTACATTAGCATGGCCTGTCTTCAAAGTTTGAGATTACTCTTCACATACACAAATGGAAAAATTGTCGATTATGAGACAAATAATAAGTAATTCTACATTGGCAAATGCTGTAGTCATAGAAGATTTCAGGAAAGCTTCAAAAACCTCAAACCTTGAATTCCAAATTGCATTAAAATCAAGGATAATTAGCTGATAATCAGATAACTGCACAAGGGAAAAAACAGGAAATCTCAATGTAGTGAAAATCTGATATCCTGACAAAATCCAGACCCAAAGCCTTAACTTTCCATAGGAAAGAAAGAGCGTAAGTCCTGGAGAACGTGTTAAGATGAACAGGTTCCATTTCTGGCTTATCAACAGAGTCCTTGTATCAAATGCTCATTTTCCTGTGTCATGATTCCCAAATGGAAAATTTATACATACATTTCCTTATTCTTGTTAGCCTAGAGGAAGAGCAGTACAAAAACATTCTCCTAGCAAGATAGTTTGAAATTCTGTAAAATGAATAGTCAGAGTACTTGTTTTCATACACTTCATTTTACAGGATTTATTTGTAGTCAAGATTGCAAGTGCTAAGCTGTATTGGTTAATACAAAGGAAAAGCAATTTTAATGTAAAATAATACTCCACTTTCACTTCTACACATTCTGAAATTGTAATACTTGTGAAATATGTAATTTAGTTTCAGTACTCTGTCAAACAACCCTCACTATGTTTTTTTTCCCTGTAAAAGTCTTTCATGACATTACAGTGAAGTTTTTGTGAACTATCTGAAAAGTATATGCTGAATATATATCAGTGTGAAGATGAATCCTAGGGTACACTTAGCAGCAGCCTGCAACAATGTATAACGTGACCACATTCCAGCCTGAATTTCAGGTCATTTCACTTAAGTTTACATACCTCTGTGAAGAGAATCTTTTTTTTTTTTTTTTTTTTTTTTTTTTTTCATCAAACTTACACTGACATCTAGAATAAAAATGGCTCAATAACTTATGGTAAGGAGATTTTTCCATATAAATGAAATTTATACTTCTTTAAAGAGAAAGATTGCATAACATCAATGCAGACTGAATCTCTAAGTATTCCAGGAACAGATACTAGCTGATAAACTCTCAAAGATATACACCCCTTGAATAAAAATCAAGCCAGATTGCATGGACTTTAGTTCTGTTATTTTGTGTTTTCAGTCAGAAAGGGCCCAGTCAGGATCCTGTCCAGTCAGATTTGGAGTATTTTCATGAAGTGCATGTTCCAAGATTCTCCAAACAATCTTTCTTAATGTTCAACCATCCTTACAATAATCTATTTTCTTATTTCTATTTAAAATTTCAAATGCTACAGTTTGTGTTTGTTGCCTCTTGTCCTTCCTCTTGTTATCTTTTAGAAGTTTGGCTCAGCAAAATTGACAATCTGGTATCTGTACATGCCAATATGTCCTCCTCTTCCAAACAAAGCTATGATTTCCACAAACTGAACAAGACCTGTTCCTTTTTCTCCTTCAATGGCTTGCACTCCAGTCCCAGAAGCATAGGTCAAAACTGTCTCCATTACATCAATGTCTGTCTTGTACTCATGTGATTATATGCCATCACACAAGTACTGAATAACAGTGTAGTGTCACTTCCCCAGTCCTTCTGGCTGCCTGCAAATGCAGTCTGGGATGTGGAAGGCTGCTGCCTTAGGGCCAGCTTGATATTCCTCAGTGATCCCAGAACATTTACTGCAGAGCTGCTTCAAAGCTGGTGATCCCCAGTCTTCAACATTACCTCTCAAGTGCAGGGCATTGTGTTCAGTTTCATATGATTCCTGAGTCATTTCTCCTGACTGCTCACATTTATTAGAGAAGAATCTCTGTATTCTCTAGAAGATTGCTCCTTCCATTAAGTTTTTGTGTGACCTCTAAGCTTTAAGAGAGTGACTTCTGAACCATTCCAGTTGTTAATGAAAGATGTTAAACATGAATGGCCATGGTACTGGTCCTTAAAGGCAGCTACTACTCACTGATGACTATGTGACCATAGATCATAGCACAGTAAGTTCAGCAGTTCAGGCTATTTTCCACCCACATTGTAACTGCTTATATAGTCCATATATCACCGATCTGGTGATAAAACTACCGTTAAAATACTTTATCAAAGTGAGGTTGCTCAAATATAAACATTTTTAATGTGTTCATATTTTCCTCTGAAAGGTAATCACACTGGATTCTTGTGACATTTATAATGATTGTATATAAGATACAAAGTGAAGTAAGGTGCTACTTACATTCCTTATATTTTTGTAACATTACTGTACAGTTACTAAATTTAGCATTCCATTTTGGAAAAAAAAAAAATTACATGAAACTTCTGTGACTACTTCTTCTAAGGTGTGTTCTGACTATTCAAATTCCACATTACAAAGTTAAGCTGTGTTATGTATTTATTTATTTTCACCTATTTTCACTATAATCATTAACTCTAGTAATTTAGGATCATCTTTTCACACACTGGTCATTTGTTATGCCAGATAAATACACCACTTTGATGAAAAGACATTTTTCAACATGAAAATTTTCAAACATCCAGGTCAACTGCACATTTTTAACACAACTACTAACTATGCTTCTCTCCTTTTAATGCTAAATTTATTAATAAAATATTCTTTTTTCTTCAGATATTACTAGATTATTTCTTTAGTTTTTCATTTTGAATAAAACACAGCAAAGTACACAGCACTGTTCTGAGCATAAACTTGAAATTCCTTGTCCAGTGCTAACTTTGCCAGCTTCTTTGATCCCAAGATGAGTTTCGAAAATGGATTTTGAATGTGATGCTGTATACAAAATGGGAGAAAGATCTGAGGAAATTTTGTGTGTTGAAATGAAGGTATTGGTGCTAATTTTACCTTGCACATGAGTAAGTGAATTATTTCTGTTTAGGATTTAGATCTCTTGGCCTTTTTTAACTGATCTTATAACTGCGAAATATATAAAGCAATTTAAAATGTCTTAATTATTTTAATGGCAATAAAAATATAATTCAAAAAAATCCTCCATGAAATGTTGTTAGTAGCAAACTTTTCCATATTCGTTAACTTTCAGTTGCTTTCTGAAAATCTAAAGGCTGATGATTTGTGCCAGTAAACAAATTGTTTCTTCCATTTAACTTTTTGTATGATCAACTGTTCAGAGTCAACTGTAAAAACCATGCAAATGAAGATGCAATTGGAATATCTGTGTATATTAAGCAAATCTATCAGTGCCCAGGATTCCTAAGCAATAGTCTCAGTCACCCTTTTTAGAGTGAGCTGGGCTCACATGGTTATTATTTTCTGGCCTGAGATTGTCTCTCTCTCTAGGTATGCACCCCATTAATGGTTGCTGTTGAAGGTGTCATTTCTCAGGTACTTTGGAAAGTATTGTCAATATTTAGGGTTGTTCTTGATTTCAGAAATCAAGGCAACTATGTTGTATACTGTGCATGTGATCTTTTGGCATGACTCCCACTGTCATCTGTGTTTTATAATGTAGGTATTCATTTCACCTAAAAACTGGTGGCAAATAGGACTATTAACAAAGATTTTGCCACTACAGCAATGCTGCTGATAGAAGATAGCTCAAAGCCTATTTCTCTTTCTAGTTTTCTCAGAATACAATAGACAATCACATTAGAATTACAATTTGGAAATGCTCAAGGTATATTCTCTATATTAGATCCAAAATTTAAAGTTACTCATGTTTTCCTAAAAAAAAACAACAAAACACAGTCTGTCTAGAGTAAAAGAAATCTTGTTTATTAGTAAATTCATTTATTCATTTATTCATTATATGCTGATGAGTTTATTTCTTCTCATCAGCAATCAGATAACAACAGAAAACTTAATTATTAGACTCAAATGGTGTTTTGTTTTGTTTTCTTTTGTTTTTAAATTTGAGTTTAAAGCATCTTTGGTGTTCATCATTATCAGTTAACACTAGTAGACCTCCTTTAGGCCACAGATTATTTTATACTCTCAAAGAGTAAAAGGGATATGAAGCAAATAAGCTGCCTATCTTTCATGGAGAAGTGTTCTAAGTTTAGTGGTTAATCACTAAATTACTGAAGGAATGCTTTAGCTCTACTAGAAAATTTTGTAAAACACACATCAAACATAAACAGAAAGTGAAGTTGTTGTTTTAAGGTTTCAAATAAAAAATAACTGCTCACATAAATTATATTCCAAACTTGAACCAGAAATATACCACGTTAGGATTATTTTCCCTCTATGCCCAATTGAAAAAAAAAAATAACAAAAAACCAACCAGCCAACCAAAAAAAATACTGAAGAGATAACCCATTTTATTCTACATTTCTGACGATCCATGAAAACTCACGGTCCTTTTATTTAGTATAGCACCTACTATATATGATTCACAATCTTCCTTAGTTTGGCTAGCAACGTTCCTTTATCAGCATTTCTAAAAATCAACAAATGGACTAACAGAGCCACCAAGAGGAATTTGGGTCCTCTTTTGGTCTATCTTTATGCAAATAGAAATTGTTTTACTTTTATGATATGAAGAGATGAATTTCAGTACATCATTATGGTGGTCCAAAAAGGGTAACATATCAGATTGTGATGTTACTGTTTGCAAGATGATATTCAGTATACAAGCAATTACATTTTAATTTTAGGACACATTTAATTGAGAAATTGAATTTCATAGTATAGGAAACAAAAGTGCTCCACAGTGCCTTATATACAGTATTTTTGATTTATGTTTCTTGTTAAAATCAACAAGCTGTAAATCTGGTCTGAAATGATTCTCCAAATGCGTAAGTCTTCACTTACTTGGAGTTGAGGCTGAACAGCTCTTCCATAGCTGGTACCAACATTCTGTCGATCAAATTCTACGCTAGACTGTAAAGGGTCAGGAAAGCAGATGCTTTTTACTCCCACCTGGAACAAAATACTGTGTCAGACAATTTTTCTCATAGTCTTACAAATGCAGTAAGACATTCATTGTTATCTTTGCCTGTCACATCAGAGGTTCATCAGAATACTGATCATCAGAACAAGGGAGAACTAATAATTGCATTCCTATTTTCTCCTTGAATGTGTGACAAAATATGTATATATAAATAAATGCTGTAAGTAATTTTTTAGTTTGTTACAATAATTTCCTATAAAAACTGTAGTTTTCATTTGTAACTGTTGGATTTAGGTAAAATATGTATTCACATTATACACCTATAAATGCTAATACTGAAGACAGTAAATTCAGAAAACTAAGAGTAGAAAATATAAGTGTTTCATAGTACATTTCTTTAATATAGCCTTACCCAAACAACGAGGATGCTCATTTATTTAGATTATAAAATGCTATTCTTTCTTTTTTTTTTTTCCATTTTTTCTCATTCCATTGCAATATAGTCTTTGTAAGATTACTTTAAAACAGAAAAATGGCTGTTTTTTCAGCTACCATCTCTGAAACATCATGAGGAAAAAAGCTAAAATAACCAAAAATATAAAAAATATTATACTCATATACAACAAACAAACAAACAAACAAACAAAACAGAACAACAACAACAACAACAAAAACAGGTCCTCATGGAAACGGTTTGCAAGAATAAGATCAAGTAGGTAAACAGAAAATCCAGCACATCTGCCAAATGTAAAGTGTGCTTGACTAGCTGGTAAGTATTTAATATTCAGTACAAAAATATTTATTAATTTTCTTATATCTTCCTGACCACATGATAAAGGTATAGACCAAATTAAAACCAAATGCCAGGGCTTTATGATTTTTGTCAGTCATATTACACAGCATCACATCATATAGTAGACTGGGAAACTCAGAAGAAAAGAAATGTACTACAGCATGCAGAAGAATTTGCTGCTCTGCTTCAATTTTCTGGTCATTGGGAAAGATGGAAGTGTCCCTCTCTTTGCTCCCTGGTGGACCAGAGTAAGAACCTTAATTTTCAGAAACCTTCTCATTTATTTCATTTATTAGCTTAAATCCCAATTAACTCATATTTCTGCCATAATGGTAAAATAATTTTCTTCGTCAGATCATTGTCACTGTTGTTTTGTTTGTCTGTTTTGTTTTGTTTTTGCTTTTTTGTTTGTTTGTTTTCTCTTTTTATTCCCTTTCTCCTGTATCTCTCACATGGAAGGAGGGTTATCTATAGACCTATCTGTGTCTATGACAGGGGGCAGCAAGCCCACAGGCCCGCCAACCTGAAAAGAGGAGGGGAGAGGGAAGGTGTCAATGGCTTATGGACTAGTTTAGCTCAGTTCTCTGACTAATGGGGCAGGAGATCCATGGACTCACACCCCAGAAAAGGGGAAAGGGGAAAAGGGGAAAGGGTAGGAAGATGGGAGATGGGCCAAAAACAAAGCAGTACCAACAATCTGAGAAGGAAGGCTAATTTACTAAGTAAGATATCAGAATGCAAGATAACACAATATAATACATTGTACTTGGAATTGAGGCTAATAAATCAATTAAAACGAGACAGTGTCTGAAACAAAAGGCCTTGCTCTGAAGCTGAAGGTGAGACACTGCCAAGACAAGCGGCAAAAAAAGCAGACAGTCTCGTGACCTTTGGGAAGTTTCATCTCTCCCTCTGAATGCAAAGTCCTCTGGGGTATGTAGTTCTTCTCTTCTGAGAACCAGGCACCTGGAAAATTGGCAGTCCTTGAAACTGGATCATTAACTCTTTAACTCCGAGTGCTTTATATGATGTTATGATGTGGAATATCGATAATAAAAATCATAAAACTGTGACAGTTTTGTTTTTTGTATTTTTTTCCTTTTTTATTCCCTTTCCCCTTTCCCTCCCTCCCCACCCCCACCCCTCACCCCCCCATCATTTTTGGGATGGTGGGCCTGTGGGCCTGCTATCCTGCTGTCACAGATGCAAATAGATCTAGAGATAACTAAACAAACCGAAAATCACCACATTGTGAACATCTCTCAGCTCTTTTGCAACGTAATGCGTGGTGTTCTACATAAAGAGAAAAATCACAACTTGACATCTTTAAACATCTTTATGGGAGGATTGTATGCTATGCTGCCTCTAGGGACAATATAGCAATTTTCAGGGAATCATGATTTATAAAAGTTTAAGAACATTAACCATCAACTTTTTTTGCTGTACAGTGTAAAATATTTGTGAATCAGTAGTAGGTTATAATACAGCCATACAAAAGAATGACTGTAGCTGGTTCCTTGATATGTATAAAAACAATGATTTGACAGATACTGAAAGTTTGACGTGCTTGTGTCTTCCCACATACATCATAGTCACATGGGACAACTTAACTATGTTATATATAATTGCTATTTTATGTATCAATGCTATTTTCTTGAAAGGAAATAATATATCTTGTTTTTTTCTGGATAAAAAATACATCTTTAAGAAGTGTTAATATGAGTATTGAATATTAATAATGTATTCAAATATATTGTGGCTGAATTCTGTAAGCAGCTAAGCACCACACAGCCTTATGCTCATTCCTCCTCTCTCAATGGGCTGGGAGACTGTGAGAATCCTTCTTTGTTTTTCTGGCTCAAAGTTTGCTTCCTTAGGTATTTTGTTGAGGAGGCAAGTGATGGATGTTGTGTGGCAATCAACATTGCTGTGTGGACAATTTTACATCTTTGGAACTCTTTGCCTTCGGAAGATAGTGCTCAGGACTATTTACTGTCAGAAGATCTAGCCTGTTACTAAATAACTCCTGTTTGCTATGGAAGACTGAGGGACAATGCCATTGTATCCTGCGAAGTTGGCGCCTCCCGGATTCCTCTTATCTGCTGGCAAGGCCAGGAAGATAAGAACAAAGGAGTTTCTGCTGAGATCCCAGAGCCAGAAGCTGCCACTCAAAGGAGAGCTGGCTCGACCACTTTGGATTTGAGCTGTCACTCCAAAAACAGCTGACTCAACCACTTTGAAACTATTGAAAAAGGGCCATCATCGTCATGGTCGGGCATCGTCATCGTCATTGTCATCATCTGCCTGACGACCCACCACTACTGAAGATCAAAGACTGAACTACGAACCTTGCTGGATCCATGGTGGTGACTATCTCCCTCTTGCTGCCTATAAAGACTCCTTGCTTCTTCTTTTCTATCTTTTCTATCGCCTTCCTTCCCTTCCCCATTACCCTAATTCATAATAGTGTCTGTCCTCCCCTTCCCCATTTCCCTGATTAAGATTTGTAATAAACTGGTCGGACCAACATTTGAACCGTTGCTTCTTAATCTCACGCCGGGTATATAGATAATAAAAGAACCTCCTCTCCCTCCTATAAATTGGAGCGAGACAGAGACTGAATCAGGAAAAAAAAAAAAGAAGAAAAAAAAAAAGTGGAACTTATAGGTTGAATTAAAAACTATTTACTAAGATAGAAAAGGAAGAGAGAAATAGCAGTAATGATTAATTAATATATTAATCTGTATATCTATGCAAAACAAGTGATAAACAAAGCAATTGCTCAGCAACTGCCAACTGATGCCCAGCTAGTCACTGAGATGCAGCAGTCTTCCCAGTCAACTTCTCTAATTTTTATATTTTTTTAATATGATGTATGGTATGGAATATTCCTTCATCCAGTTTAGATTAGCTGTACTACTTCTGTCCCCTCACAGCGCCTCGTGCTTCCTCAACCCTCTCATTGGCAAGACAGTATGAGAAACTGAAACATCCCTGGCTCTGTGCAGCACTGCTCAGCAACAACTAGAACATTGATGTGCTATTAACACTGTTTTCTCCTGAAGTCAAAATGAAGAAAATCAACTCTGTCTCAGCTGACATCAGGACAATGTATTTATGAAATTATGCTCAGAAGACACACCAAAAATAAACAAAGAAAAGAAAACAATATAACTCAACCTTTGAAACCTCAGAAAATTCAGAGTTCATGGTTCAGGTTCAAGATAATCAAGTATGAAAATAAATTGTAGAAATCCAAGGAACTGTGGAACATTTTTTGTTTTAGTATCATGAAACTATTTTTATTTTTGATTACTGTTTATAATTTGGATAAAATATTGTTTTTTTTTTTTAATATTTATACATTATTTTTAACTAGAACTGAAAGTTCCAGCTCTGTATGCATTACTAAAAATAATAAATCTTAAGTTCAAAGTTCTCCTTGATCTTACCATAGATTATTTACTGTTTTCCTAAACCATGATATTTATAACAGAAATAAAGGGATAATTGTTTACTTATAAAGGAATTTTCACTTTGGAATAAACAACTAGGCACTTGCTGTATTAAATGACAGAATCTGAAACAGAAGAGTATAGGTTTTACACCTGAGCTCTATTCTTCTACTCCAAACTTGAATTATAATTGGAATATACAGAAAAACTAAGCAGTCCAGAAAGAATTAAAACTGATCTCAATCCCATAAAACATCATTAAGACTTGCTCCATCCTTCAGCTGGGCAATACAATTGTTTCTATATTGTAAACAACCAAAATAATCCTATAAAATTAATACAGAATCATTTCATAGATGTTGAAAATTCATTCTACCTTGTTCTAATTCTGCCACAAAAGTGAAGCTCCTCATCATAGACAGAACAATTTCATATAGTTCCAAGGAATGCAGAGTTTACATTGTTATTTGGACAATTCTCAATTAGAGATCTGCAATTGCAGATTGACATGATCTGTAAATTCACTCTTTCAGAAACATTTCTATTTTTTTCATCAGTGTGTTTTTTAGTGGAAGTTATACACATGCAGGAACCTCTTTGAAGGGAAGGTAAATTTAATGCAATAGGGTTGCTATACTGAACATGGAAAGCCTTGAGCATGAAATAGAGCTGAACCAAGACTTCTGGTTCTGGACATGCAATATTTTATTGACCCTCACAGGGTGTGTTGTAAATACCTGAAGACTTTTTCAGTAACACAACAATCTTTCCAAAATGAGAG